TTTCTTTCTCTCAAGTCCAGGGTACAGAACACGGATGCTCAAAGATTATTACTTATATTGAATAGGAAAATCAGAGTTCCCTTTCAGAGCTCTTATTTAAATTTTCTGTTGAATGCAGTAAAGGAATTATCAAATTGGTAATACTTTATATATAACTGCATTGTGTTTCAAATTCTCTCAAGAATCAGAAAAAATATTCAAAGTGGATGAAAATGCATCAAACTAGGTATGTATAAATATATATGGCTTGATGCTACTTAGTAAAACATTTAAAAAGTCACATTAATGGAACCTTTTTGAGTATTTAACAGATTACTACATTTAAAGTTGAAAGTGAAGCATAACAAAAAGGAATTCAACATTTGTTAAAGTTCTTACCACAATCATTTCTGAAGGCTCTAACACAAGACAATCACATCCTCTTTTTCCTCCAAACTGCTTACCAAAACTATAAAAACAGAAAAATATTTCTTTAGCAAAGGTTATAAAATTTATCAATACAGAAAAAAAATGAACCAAAAAACTTAGATGTTAACCAAAAAATTGTGATTCTATCACTTCGAGATTTTTTTAAAAACAAACCAAAAAATCCCCTTCTTTTACTTGCCCAGATATGTGGCCTCAATACATAGTGTGATAATTATTTTAAAAATTCTGCCTTTAACTAGTCTCTAAAACTGATTATAAAAGATACCTACCTAATCTCAAATTTTGAACATCTATTAGTATGTGTTGAACTAAAGAAAAACCGCACTTGCTGCTGCTGCTTAGTTGCTCAGTCCTGTCCGACCCTGTGACCCAATGGGCTGTAGCCCACCAGGCTCCTCTGTCCATGGGGATTCTCCAGGCAAGAACACTGGAGTGGGTTGCCATGCCCTCCTCCAGGGCATCTTCCCAACCCGGGAATTGAACCTGGGTCTCCTGCATTACAGACCCATTCTTTACTGCTGAGCCAGCAGGGGAGCCCCAAAACTACACCTACTGAAGAGTAACGCTAAAATTACAGAATATTTAAAAAGAACAAATTTTTGAAACTGATATTAGATGACATAAAAACTTTAAGATATTATCACTTGAATGTATTACAAAATAAAGTAAGATACAGAAGTGATTCATTAAAAAAAAAAAGTGTTAGAATCCCTGGATAGCTCTTTGGAAAAAATAAAAACTGCAGTAGTACTCAAAGAAAATTTGAGTTTTTATGTATTTGTCTGGAAGAAAGATTTCTAAGCAAATCAAAAGAAGAAAGCACTCATAAATACTGAAATTTTAAAATTTTTAAATTTTCATTTTAAAAGATGAACTGAATTTTTTAAAAGGTGGGATATAAAAAAATACTAGACAACACAGAAGGTTAATATATTTAATATGCAATAAAATCAATCTAAAATACTACAAAATGGAAATTTAGTACTATGGTTAATTATAAAATATATAAATAAAACACTATAAAAAATAACTTTAAAACTCCACTAATAATGCAACTATAAATACCAAAATATAAATTTAATAAGGAAATACAGAAATCACTTATAAAAAAACTATACAATGTTATTGATGAATTGAAAATAGGGCATAATAAAAGAAGTGATATAGCACATACTTACAAGGAAGCTATTATAAAAATGTCAACTTTCCACAAAGTATGTGATTATATACAAATATTAGTTTACAACAAAATCCTAATCAAAATCCAAATGAACTTACTTTTAACATAACAAAAAAATCACTGCTGTTTTTCCTTAAGCACTAGCCTGTGTTGTTTTCTTTTGTTCTTCCTCCCACCAAAACTCCTACCTTATGTAATACATAAAACAATAAAAGCAAATTTGTAAAAGTTTACTTTCAAGATGGTATAACAGGGAATAGATTTGCTCTCCTACGTGGAAAAAAAAAAAGGAAAATCAGACAAAACACATTAAACAACAGTTTCAAGATTTTGGAAAGTAGGTAGGACATGTATGTGGATGCTTTAGAGAGGAAATAAAAAACCCAAGATGACCCTTAGAACATCCCAATTTTACTAAGTACAGGTAATCTCCAGGCTACAATGCAAAAAGGGAGAAACCTAGCAGAGTCTGCCAGTGTCACTGAATTCAAAAGACAGAGACAGATTTGGGGTGTGTAAAGACCAGGCTTCCCGGTGGCTCAGATGGTAAAGAATCTGTATTATGTATTCTACATAATTTGTATTAGGTTGAAAGACTACATAATATACTGAACATTAGGTAGGATCTTCAGAAATCTACTTCCTTTGCAATGTGATAAATTAGTCTACACTAAAGAAGTGCTAGACTCACTCAGATATTACTCATGTCAATGTATGGCAAAAACCACTACAATATTGTAAAGCAATTAGCCTCCAACTAATAAAAATAAATAGAAAAAAAAAGAAATAACACAAAAGGTGGAATACAGCAACATAGAAATCTGACATCCAGTAAAACAAAAAAATACCATGCAAAGAGGACTATATTATCCATAGCCAAAGAAAAACCAATCTATAAAAACAGATCTACAGCTGTCAGCAGTGAGAGAATCAACAGACAACACTGAAGCAGCTATTTCTAAGTATGCTCCAAATGTTTAAGAAAGTGAGATAAACATGAATTCAACAGAGAAACAGAAGCGCTTTTTTTCTTCTTAAAGACCTAGTGGAATATTCTACCACATCACATATGTAGACTCATAATGTCTGGTTGTGCCAGTTTTTAGTAGTGTTAAAAACAGTGAGTGGTTTTAGACACTGTCAATTTGATACACCCACAATATTAGAAATTTTCCTATCAGTTTTCCGTCTATTAGATTTAGTATCCATTTTTGATCAGTGACCAGACCTCAAGTGTTATTAGGGGCTACTGAAAAAGCCATTTTGTAATTATATCATTCCTTCTGAATTGATCAGCTAAAGTACTGACATAAAGAAACATACTCCAACTATTTGAATTCCTAGAACAATAACGTATACAAGAAAGGCATGAGAAAAGCTGCAATGGAGATGACATGACTGTACATTAAGTAAATTCTATACATTCTGTTTTTAGGGAATCCAGTCCAGTGGTTAGCGCTCAGGGTTTTCACTGCTGTGGCCTAGGTCTGATCCCTGGTCAAGGAAGTAAGAAGCCAACTGCAAGCAGTGTGGCACAAATTAAATTGGTGCAAACAATTTTTTTTTTTTTTTAAGAAAGAAACAAGTGAATTTACCAAGATTGAAGGATACAAGCTCAATATTCAAAAATCAATGCTTTTATTGTATATTAGCAGTGAACAATCTGAAAAAAAATTAATTCCAGTAAAGGTAGAATGAAAACACAGAATACTTGAAATAAGTTTATAAAAACATGCACAAAACCTCAATAAAATTGCCAACTAAAAAAAAACTATATAACATTGACCAAAAAAAAAAAAAAAACCTGACAAGAAAATTAAGATGTCCTAAATAAGATATACCTAATTTATGGATAGAAATGTTCTTCTACAAATTCAATGTAATCAACAAGTTGCCTTAGAGACATAGACATGACGATTATAAAATTTACATAGAAATGTAAAAGATCTAAAATAACTAAACCAATTTTGGAAAACAAGAAGATGGAATATTTTATATTTCAAGATAATTTTATAAAGCTAGAATATTCAAGACAGTATGGTATCAGATTAATTTATAGATCAATAAAACAGGACCGAGAGAACAAAATCAGACCCACACATATATGTTCAATTGATTTCTGACAAAAGTGCCAAGGGAATTCAATGGGGGGAAAGATATTATCTACAAGTAGTGATAAAACCACCACATATCAATACAGAAAAAAGGAAGATTTTAATACCATAATCAAACATTAGAAATGGATCAGAGATATAAATGAAAAAATGGAAACTAAAAACTTTTTAGAGCACAGAATTTTTATACATGTTCTAGACAAGGGTTACTGAGGAAGTTTCCTTCCATAGAGCTAAATTTTAAAAATTTTATCAGGAACGAGTTTTGAGTTTTGTCAAATTTTTTTTTTCTGCTTACCGAAAGGATCATGTAGCTTCTGTCCACTCTTTTACTAATGAAGAATACTACATTAATTGTTTTACAGATTTTAAACTTCATTGCATTCCTAGAATAAACCCAACCTGATCACAAATGTCTAATACTTCTAATATATTCATGGATTTGCTCTGTTATTATTTTGTTAATTTCCACAGGTATGTTCAGGAGAAATAACTGCAGTTTTCTTACAAGAGTACATCATTATGATACTATATTCATAAAGGAGATTGAAAAGTTCTTTCTTCCATTTCTCAGAAGAGTTTACATATGTATTAATGTTAAAAATAATGCTTCATTAAACATCTCTCTGCTGGGCCGAGCTGGCGTGAGCGTTTGAGGCCCATTTCCAGTGTGGTCCGGCTGGTAGAGCCTCTGGCTGTCTCCAGGAGGGTGAGTTGGTACTAATGGTATAGATTAGGGTCAGGACGGCCCACATGTTCCTCACCCTCCAGCTAAGAGGTCTCGCACCCACCCTTGGGTCCTCCCACCTCTGCTGCTGAGGGCCCCGAGCTCCCTCCTGACTATTCATTGGAAGGACTGACACTGAAGCTGAAGCTCCAATACTTTGGCCACCTGATGCAAAATGTCGACTCACTGGAAAAGACCCTGATGCTGGGAAGGACTGAAGGCAGGAGGAGAAGAGGGAAACAGAGGATGAGATGGTTGGATGGCATCACTGGCTCAATGGGCATGAGTTTGAGCAAACTCTGGGAGCTAGTGATGGAGAGGGAAGCCTGGGGTGCTGCAGTCCATGGAGCCGCAGAGTCGAACACAACTGAACGACTAAACTGAACTGAACTATCTGAAAAATGCTTAGCAGTAAAGCCATCTAGGCCTAGGCATTTCCTTATGGGAATATATATAATAACTATTTACTTTTTATAAGCACGTTGAAATGTTCTAATTGTTTTTGAGTGTATTTATGTTAATATATGTCTTTTTTTCCTTTCCCATGCAGCTTGTGGGATCTTAGTTCCCAGACAGACAGAGATTAGCTCTCCACCCCTTGCACTGGAGGCTCAGAGACCCAACCACTGGACTGCCAGGTACATTGCCAGTGTATGTCTTTTTAAGATTTGTCCAATTTGTTGGTATAAACTGACTGATAAACTTCCCTAACAATATTTTTAATTTCTGTATGATAGTAATATCCCCCTTTTCAGTACCTAATATTGATAATCTGTTTATTCTTTTTTAAAAGGGCAATCTATCTCAAGGTATAACAATATTATAGATCTTTTCAAAGAACTTTTTGTTTCATTGATTTTCCTCTACTATTTTTCTGTTTTTTTCACTGATCTCCACTCAAAACTTCTGTTCACTTTGAGTTTATTATTCTTAAGCTGGAAAACCTTAAGATGGTTGAATTGAGACCATGCTGCTGCTGCTAAGTCACTTCAGTCATGTCTGACTCCGTGCAACCCCACAGACGTCAGCCCACCAGGCTCCCCCGTCCCTGGGATTCTTGCCATTTCCTTCTCCAATGCAGGAAAGTAAAAAGTGAAAGTAAAGTCGCTCAGTCGTGTCCGAGTCTTAGTGACCCCATGGACCGCAGCCTACCAGGCTCCTCTGTCCATGGGATTTTCCAGGCAAGAGTACTGGAGTGGGGTGCCACTGCCTTCTCCAATTGAGACCATAAAAGTACTAAAAATTCCCCTCTAAGGTCCTTCAGCTGAATTCCATAAATTGTGATGCATGTTCATTTTCATTCATCAAAATTCTTTCTAATTTCTGTTGTCAACTCTTCCTTGAATTACAGGTCATTTACAAAGGCACTGTTTCAATTTCCACATTTTGCTCTAGTATCCATTTATAATTCCACTCCAACACACTTAAGAGGAAAAACTATGATTTCAATCCTTTTTAACTTACTGAGACTTGTTTTATGGTCTAGAATAAGCTCTATCTTGCAGAAAGATCTAAGTCTGAAAAAACTATCTATTAAATCAAAGTAGTTGATAGACTTAAGCTTTATGAATTTTTCATTATAGCAGTTATATCACTTATTGAGAGTAGAGTTTTGAAATCTCAGCCATTACTGCTGGATTTAGTCTGCTGATGTGATGGATTACATTAGTTGATTTTTGATTGTAGAACCAGCCTTGTATACCTAAGTTAAATCCCATTTGGTTATGCTGTGTAATTCTTTTTATACATCTCTAGCATATTTGAATCTGGTTCCTATGTTTGCTCTGTCTCTTCCAACTGATTTTTACCCTCTAGAAATCCTTGTAATTTTTTCTTGCTAGTGAGAAATGATGTACTGGATAAAAGGACCTACTTACAAATACACCTTTAGTAATATGCTAGTAAGGTGTGATGGGAGGGGAAGTACTTTATAGTTCTAAGATTAGGTCTCATTCTTTCAGTGAGTCTTTGCCAGTGGGCTGTGAATTTCACGTTTCTCTGTTGTTCTCGTTTTAGGTGGGACAGGATTGCTAGAGTAGGCTAGAGCTGAGTTATTTACCTTTCTGCAGGTCTGTTAGGCTCTAATGGAACAGTTTCTCCTAAGCGCAGACATTCTTAAGAAGCCTATAGCATGTTTCAAAAATGTTTCCCTTTTCCTCCCCTCTGACAGGAGCACAAAGGGCTTTTTCTCTGTTATTCACTATGAGAACCTGTTTGAGATCTATGAGGTAAAACTCATAAAAGGGTGGAGGTTCTTTCAATGACTCAGTATTTCCCAATTTTTTTTAACTGAGAGTAGTCCACATTGAGTCTCCAGAAGTTCATCAACTACAGCTCAATTTTCCTACGCTGACACTAGCTGCCTCAGAGACTGTTGCTCTAACTTTTGATATTTTTGTATTCATCTGTCATTCTCTTTAATTTGGGAACAGCAGCTTCCCTTGTTACCTCACTTCCCTTATGGACCTAAGAAAAGTTACTTATTTTTCAGTCTATTCAGCTTTGTATTAGGTTGGTACAAAAGTAATTGTGGTTTCAGATCATGAATTTTAAATCATTATAACTAGGCTCAAACACATCTTTGTTAATCAAAATAGGAACCATTAAAAATCAACACATTTTTGCCCATGAGAAATAAGTTTGTTTATTCCTACATACAGTTAAAATAAACATTATAAATAGCAAGTAATAAGTCATTAGCTCCCTGGTGGCTCAAATGGCAAAACATCTGTCAGCAATGCAAGAGACCCAGGTTTGACACCTGGGTCGGGAAGATCTCCTGGAGAAGGGAATGGCAACCCACTCCAGTATTCTTGCCTGGAGAATTCCATGGATAGAGGAGCCTGGTGGGCTATAGTTCATGGGGCCACAAAGAGTTGGACATGGCTGAGCAACTAACACTATCTACTAAGCCATTAGCAAAAAAGAAGAAAAAAGTGAGAAATGCACATTAAATTGATGTTTAACATAACCACATTTATTTAAGAATGTATTACAATTTCAAATGGCAATATTCAACAATGCAATTGCAATTACTCTTAAACCAACCTAATAGTTGTTATTAGAACAGAGCAGCAATTTCCAAGATTCTTACATGGCCTAGCAGCAACTGGAAATCCAAGAGTATTTTTTACCTACAGATTAATACTTAACAATACTGCATCTTCCTGGGTATGAACCTGGATTGTTTCTACATATATTTACATTATCTTTAATTCACTTACTAATATTTTATGTTTTTCAGTGTGTAAGTTTTATACTTTTAAAAATTATTTAATATTTTTGAGGTTATTCTGAATATACTGTTTTCTTAACTTAATTTTTAATCTTATTCACTGCTAGTATAAAGAAATACAACTAGTTTTTATATATTGATTTTATATCCTGTGACCATGATATACTTTAAATTTTACTAGTTAAAGTTTATAGATCCCTCTACACACAGAAACTGGTACAGGTAGTTTTATTTCTTCCTTTCCATTCTGTATGCAACACCCATTCATGATAAAACTCTCAATAAGCAAGAAATAGAGGGGAACTTTCTCAACTTGGTAACAACTATCTGACAAAGCACCAACAGCCAGCACCACACTTAATGGTGAGAAACTCAATGCTTCACCAAGAACAGAGAAAAGCAACGATGCTCCCTCTGAAGCGTGGCTTTTAAGATGGTATCAGGGCCTTCCTGATGGTCCAGTGGTTAAGAATCCACCTTGCAAAGCTAGGGACACCGGTTCAACTCCTGGTCCAGGAAGATGCCACACGCCCAGGAGTAATGAAGCCTGCACCACAAATACTGAGCCAGCGCTCTAGAGCCCACGAGACACAGCTACTGCGCCCACGCACTGCAACGACTGAAGTCTGCAGGCGCAGAGCCTCTGCTCCACGAGACAAGCTACCACAATGAGAAGCCCGTATACCACAATGAAGAGTAGCCCCACTCACTGCAAGTAGAGAAAACCCTCACACAACAATGAAGATGCGCCACAGCCAACAAATAAATCTTAAAAAATATATATTAAAAAAAGATGGTACTGGAAGTCCTAGCTAGCTAATATAGTAAGGAAAGGAAATAAAAGGTATACAGATGTGAAGGAAGACATAAAACTGTCCTTGTTCTCAGATGATATGATCATTTATGTAGAAAACCTGAAAAAACTGACCAAGAAAACTCCTGAAACTAGTAAGTGATTACAGCAAGGCTGCAGGATACAAGGCTAGCATATCATTGGCCAGGGGATTTCTGCAGAAACTAACGTCCATAGCTGGCAATTTGTTATATATGTGAATACTGAAATGTCTCCAATCAATAGCATCTGGGTAACAAAAGACATATTAATACTTCTCTGGTCAATAAGTTGTTAATATACAAAAGTTAACTGCTTTCCTATATAAACAGCAAGAATATGTGGGATGTGATACAACAAATACCCAAAAATTATGAGCATACCCGAAAATAAAATACAGTTGACCCATGAACAACACAGGGGTTTAGGGATACCAAACCTTCCTGAGTCAAAAATCTGAGTATAATTTCACAGTCAATTCTCCACACTGGCAGTTCCACATCTGCTAATTCAACCAACTGTGAATCCTGTATTCCTACAGAATTTAGTGGAAAAAAGAAAACTACGTGTAAGTGGACTTAGTAATTCAAACCAGCATTTTCCAAGGGTCAATTGTACTATGGTAAAAATCTAACAAAATCTACATAAAATCTATATATAAGAAAAATTACAAAACTCTAATAAAAAATTATCAAAGAAGAAATAAATAAATGAAGTGACAGTCCTTGTTCATGGACAAAAAGACTCAATTTTGTCAAGATGTCAGTACTTCCCACTTGATTTTAGACCACTGCAATGCCAATCAAAATTCCATAAAGTTATTTTGTGGATAGTCAACACAACATTTAAAGAGAAGAAAAAAAAAATCAAAGGGCTGATGCTGTCAGACTTCAAGATTCACCACAAAGCTATAGTAATCAAGACAGTGTGGTATTGTTGAAAGAACAAATACATCAATGGAACAAAACAAAGAACCCAGGGATGGACCTCTGTAAATACAGTCATCCGATCTTTGACAAAAAAGCAAAGGAAGCACAATGGAGCAAAGTCAGTCTTTTTAACAAATGGTGCTGAAACAACTGGATGTCCACATCTTAAAAAAATAATTTAGACACACTTCACACACTTTTCAAAAATTAACTCAAAATTGACCACATACCTAAATGTAAAATGCAAAACTATAAAACTCTACAAGATAATACAGGAGAAAACCTAGATGATGCTGCGTATAGCAATGATTTATCTACAACACTAAAGGAAAGATATATAAAATAGAAACAGATAAGCTGAACTTCATTAAAGTTAAAAACTGCTCTACAAAAGACATAGTTGAGAGAATGAGACAAGCCACTGACTGGGAGAAAATATCTGAAAAAGTATTCTGATAAAGAATTGATGCTTTTGAACTGTGGTGTTGGAGAAGACTTGAGAGTCCCTCGGACTGCAAGAAGATCCAACCAGTCAATCCTAAAGGAAATCAGTCCTGAATGTTCACTGGAAGGACTGATGCTGAAGCTGAAACTCCAAAACTTTGGCCACCTGATGCAAAGAACTGACTCATTGGAAAATGCTGGGGATTTTCCAGCTGGGAAATGATTTTCATGCTGGGAATGACTGAAGGCAGGAGGAGAAGGGGATGACAGAGGATGAGGCAGTTGGAGGGCATCACCAACTCAAGAGACATGAGTTTGAGTAAGCTTTGGGAGTTGGTAACGGACAGGGAAGCCTGGCGTGCTGCAGTACATGGGGTTGCAGAGAGTTGGACACGACTGAGTGATTGAACTGAACTGAGTTCTGATAAAAGATCATTATCTAAAACATATAAATAACTCTTAAAGATACAAAAACAAACAACATAATTAAAAAATGGGTGAGAGACCTTCACAGACAATCCAGCAAAGAATGCAAATTAAAGTAACAAGATACCACAACACTTTTATCAGAAAGACCGAAATCCAGAACCCTGAC